GAAGGAGTTGCCCCATCACATTTGAGCTCATTAGAGATTAGAGAAATTCATACAGGAAAGATCCAGCAGGACAATGATCCAGCAAGCGATTTAGGAAAGTTGATAAGCATGTGATTGCTCAAACCTGGGAGACCATGTCTGCAATAGTTCTGTCCCATCTCTGCAGTCTTCTTTTGAGCATCAGCTACAGGGAAGTCTCAGAGATGCTGGACTAGATGGTCTTTTGGTATAACTGTGACTATAATTAGTCCAGGAATGTGATTTTTTTAAAATGAGACTTTCAGCTTTCTCACTAGAAATATTCAGAATATAATGGTTTTAAAATTCCAGAGTCAGGCACTTATATTTTCTGTGTTTGTGGTTGCTAATAATTTCTCTTGCAAATGCAAGATATCCTAAGTGTTGTTTTGTTGCTAACATTTGAGAAAAGTCTGCAGTTTGGCTATCAGTAGTCCATCTCTCTATCATGATGTTCTGCACTGCTAAAATAGGCATCTTGGAGAGATCTTCCAAAAGTTTCAAAGAGTAGCTTAGAGTAAAAAATAGCAAGATCAGCTTGTTGGATCATGAGTCAAAGTCCTGTTTTTAGAAGTCTTGATGCTACAGTAAGTGCATTGTACTGTGGTTCCGAAATGCTTTGGAGAATTTAAGACGAGACTCAGATTTCTGAGGGGCTTAAGTGTTTATGAAAATGCTGACATGAAAGAAAAATGTCACAAGGAAGGAAGAGAAGATCATGGGAGGAAGCAAACAGTGGACATACTGTTCTTGGCATTGACTCTGGTTAGCGTTTCCACTTTTGTGTCTTCCTGCTTGTGGTTTTGGTTTCAGGTACCCTTAGCAGACCTTTCTCCCTCGGCAGTATCCATACAGGACACTCTGTCAGAATAGCTTCTTTAGGCCAAATGCTGTGGAATGTGCCAGATCAGGGTGAAACACCAGTGGAGCTAGTTTGAAAAGTTCATCAGATAAATTAAATGAGAAACCAAAAGGATTTGTTTATTTAATAAATAAAAGATTCATCTTTATCAAGTCTAATGTTTCCTACCCTTTGATATTGTTTCACACTACTTTTCTCTAGAGGATCTCACCTTACCAAGGTACAGAACACAAGTTTGATTATGTGAAGGCAGTGGGCCAAAAAGCTAGAGGTCTTATGCAAATTCAGATATGCATTAATTTGCATAATGCTTCTGATATCTAGATACAGCTATATATGTATGCATATGTGCATCCATTATCTGTGTCTCTTTTGAAAGATACTTCTCCTTTCCCAGCCTCTCCTTAAGCTGGCTCTTGCGCTGTTCCTGGTTGTCCTTGATGACAGCTGGCCACTCTGATGTCCAGATCCTCATCTTCCCCAAAACATAGGTTTGTCACTCTGGTCTGAACTCTCTATAAGCAGTTCTAGCTCTTGTGCTGGTTGTCATCTTAGCTATTTATTTGTGCTGGTAAGTAGTTAAGACCTGTGGAAACTGAGATGTTTCTAGACACTTCCAGCAGTGATTGTCTTTAGCAAATGTAATCACAGGACGGTTCTTTGTGATGAGCCTTACCACGAATGGCTTAATGACAGCTATTCACTTTTTCCTAGTTTTTCATCCTGAGCTCAGCTCAGGTGAGAATCTTTTTCCATCCTTTTGTGATTTTGGATTGTAAAGTCTTGCTGGAACCTTGCTGCAGCTTCCACCCTGGGATCATCCATAGAATTTTGAGGCTCAGCTCTCCTGTAAGCAGTGGATAATGTACTCTTGGAATCAATACTCTGTCAGGTGGTGAGACCAAGCTGAAACTTTTGCCAGATAAGGAGTGTAGGAAACAGGTTTGACTTTCCGTACACCAGTTTAAAGGAATGGAAACCTTCCTCTGCTGCCTTGAGGTTGCTATCCTCAGAGAGACAGTCTGGTCCTGAATGATCATTGGTAGCTGATTTTTGTAAAAGGTTATGAAAGAAGTTTGTTCTAAAAAAAAAAATAATTCCTTTTTATTAAGAGAAGAGTAGTAAAGGAAGTAAGCTTTGTATTTGTACTCAATCCTAAACTGAGAAGTTTGTAAAACGGGTTCAATTGGGGCTTACAGCAGATGTTTCAGTGAAGGGATTTTACACCATAAGTGACTTTTTTCATATCTCTAGAGTTAGGCCCCAGGTTTCCAGCAAGTGTAAACTGTCACAGAGTGGCAACAATTAAAGCTCCTGAGAATTTACCCTCGTTTATTTCAAAACAGTGAACAGCCAAGTTTGACATGTAGAGCCACCAAAACTGGAGCTAGGAGAGCTTTATTGAAAACCTGACTTCTTATTTTGGTGTTTATATGGAACTTAATCTCTAGAAAATCTGGTCCAAAGTGCAATCTCACACATGCTGTGCTATCGATGTTTACAAATTCAGCTGGGTAACTTGAGCTGCATTGAATGAGAGTTGCACAATGAAGGAAAGAAAAAGCCCCTTTGGCTGCTATTTTGTTTGTGAGCTTTGAAAAAATTCAGATACATGAAGGAATTATTCTGCCAGATCTGCTAAAGCCTGAGCTTCTTGGAGTCTATGGAGTTCTGTCTCCTAACTTAAGAAGACTGTTTTACCCTATTCTCTAAAGTGGGTTATTAATAAACTGATAGGCTGATCATGAAGTGACTTTATTGGAAAGAAAGCTTACCAAGTAAATAATCCAGTGAATTATCTAGTAAAAAATCCAGGCAGCCGTGTCCAATAGGTTGCTTGGTGTGGTGAATAGTAAGCAATTGGTAATCAATAGTGCCTTTTTAGACTGCAGTAACACAAAGTGCTCCAAAAGCCTGACCCTAGTAGGAGTGAGCCCTGAGAAGAGAAAATGTTAATCCTGCACCGTCAGGCCAAGATCTGTTGAAAGGCATGTTGTAAGGAGATAGAGATATACTAGTCCTAAATCCCAGCTGTTCCCTTTCTTCAACTCCTTCTCTTCATAAATGCATATTAAAATAATTTTGAGTCAAGTAATTGAAAACAATTGGAAGAAATTTCTCAGAGTAAAGCGTGTTAAAGAGTTTTGATTGTAATAATTTTATTCCAGCATATGGATTTGGGGTTTGGTGGTAAATTGAGCTGTCTCCTTATGGAAGTGGTAAATCACCAGCATTTGCTATCAAGAGCAGCAAAAAAAGAATGTTTATAAATCACTGCATTTGTTTCAGTTTATTCATCAGAGCTGGAAGGCAATTGTTCAAGTTACTTTGTGATAATATAAACAGAGTTCTGGGAAGGCCACATACTTTGTAGCAAAATTTGGGGGTTTGTACATGTATCAAGTGAGACTTGTTCCTTCAGTAAGTGTTCAACTAATCTTCCAGAGAGGAGAATCTAGATTCCAGTGTGCTGTTTTGAAGAAGTAAATTTGAGTTGGCACAAGTAGTGTAGCAAGGCATGCAGACTCCCAGAGGATGAGTCTAACCAGGATGTCTTATCTTTCCTTCTTGTGCAGCAGTAGGCAATGACAGTCTTCACTTCCTTATCCTAGGGACTCCCAAACTCTCTGACAGGGTTATGAAAATGTTCACATTTGGAAATGAATAAGTACTGAGGGCAGGGAGGATTTTGATACAGAAAGTTTGAGGCAATAGTGCTTAACATTTCTTGGTAAATAAAAAAAAGGAGAATGACTGTCTACACACTTGTATTGTAATTCCAGACAGAAGGAGGCTGCCTGGTTTCCCTGGGTACTGCTGTAATTACCCTAGAGCTTTTCTCTCTGTGAGAAAGAGCTACAGTTTCTGTCACATGAAGTGCAGGCAGCACACACAGCAGTATCAGGCTTAGCTGAGCAAGCTGCCGGAACTCATTGGCCTTCCTGCATGAGTTACTTGCTGAGTTGCTGCAGCATTTGAGAGCTTTCTGGCCTTGCCTGCAAGAGTACTAGCAAAAGCAACTTGGTTTTACCTTAGTGTGTTGTGGCCAGTTCTGGAGGAATTAATTTCTGCAGGAGCTGTGCCAGCTCTTCTGAGGTTTTGAATGTTGTGGATCATTTAGCTTTGTTGTGGTTTTTTGCTCCCTCCAAAAATAAAATGAAAGCAAAACACACATCAACTCATTTGCTGACATGTTGGCACATACTGTGAAATAACTAACAGGCTGAAGAGTCTTCATAAAAAAAGGAAAACATGGAATTTTCAGGTGGCAAGTTGCTTTTATCCAAAGGGAAAAAAAACAAACAAAACCCCCCAGAAAACAGAGATGATTTGTTTTTATAAGCAAAGCAGGAGAGTTGCAAGGTTGAATGTGGGTCAGATATCTATTTGTGGCAGTGGTTTCCCAATGCTGAAACATATGTCTGTTGAACATAACAGCATAAAAACTGTTATGCCAAAGAGAATTGAAGGGGGATAGGCAGAGACCCTCAAAACAGTCAGTAGCTAATGCTGCCTTTGTGGTTTTATATATTTGCCTATTAAAATGACAATACAGACATGGAACATTTAGATTTAAGAAGCCTTCTTTTCATTAAACAACATTAAACAAACTGACAAAGTAGGGGGTTATGACTCCAGTAATTGAAACATGCTGTTCTGTTCAAGACCAGAACTCTATAAAGACTCTTTTCACCCAGTAATGCCCTTTGTGTTTGCCTGCTACCCCTGCTAGAAATTACTGTAGACCTGAAGTATGTCTTTCCAAGTGGAGTGGGAATGACAGAGTGCAACACCACACTTGGCAGATGGGGTCACAGCCTTTTTAGGATGTTAACATTCATTGTGCATTAGAAATCAATTTGCAGCTCAGAATACATGGAGACATAGCTGGACTCCCCTCCCCAGTTGGTTTTTTGGTTTTGTTTTTTTTAATGTTAACTTTAAGCCTGGGATGCAGTAAAAAGAATTAGCTGGATTAATTTGGATTAACTCTGATGGCATTTGGGTAGTTTTCATTAGCTTAATTTGCAGTGTGCCTTTTTGTGGATTCCTTGCTCTTCTAGATATGTATTCTGAATCTGTACATTATCTTGCATTTCTTTTTCCTTCTCCCTTCTAGATGTTGATGAGTGTCTGGATAACAATGGAGGGTGCCAGCAGATTTGTGTAAATACTATGGGCAGCTACGAATGTCAGTGCAAAGAGGGCTTTTTTCTGAGTGATAACCAGCATACCTGCATTCATCGCTCCATTGGTAAGTTTTCAGTGTGTAAACTGTGCTCTTTAAAATAACTGTGTTCAATCAGAAATGCAAAACACTTTGGGTTTTGTTGGATTCTTTTTTAATCCCCAGAGCTCCCAAAATCACTGGTTTGTTGGAATTGATTGATCCTCTGCTACCCAGACTTGTAGCAGAGCCATGAATAAGACAAAGGAAAAGGTTTTAGTTTGACACAGAAGTTGTACTTGGTTCACACAGCAGACTCTTTGGTCAGGCAGAGACAGATTTTCAAATGGCAACTTTCTGCTCCTGTGTTTCCAGGGCTTAAAAATTTCTCATCTGTTTATTATGTAATGGTTCACCTGTCTTTTCACCTTGAAAACATGGTGTCTTAAATCAAAGTGAACAGCTTGTTACTTCTGGAAGTTACACAGGTTATGGTTTTTTTTGCCAGTCGTGTAACCCATTGCTTCATTGCAGACTGATCACAGGTAATGTTATATTGGCACAGGACTTTTCTTTGGTTCAGTACCCTGTGGATTAGAAAACTGTTTCTCTGTTGCCTACGCACTAGCAGGAGAAATAAAGAATCTCTGCAAAACTGTGATCCTTGTCTGCTGCTGTTTTTGACTAGAATAAGCAGCTCTCCCTTTCTCTAGATGTCAGATGTGGAAGACAAGTTTGAGTAGAAAGGGAGAAAAGAAAACAGCATAGCTATAAATCTTTGCAATTAAGTGGACTCTTTCTGTGTTCATTCAGACTTCTGTGACCCTGGCAGCAATGGGAATATATGCTAGCAAACTCATTTACCAATAGGCAATACAGGATGACAAAGTAGCAAGATGAGACTGGTGATCAACAATGTAAGCATGCTGTAAATTTCAACAAGCCACACAAATGGTTCTGAACTATTTTAAGTGACTAAAGTTATCAGGAAAATCCTACTCAAAGACAGGGTATGAATTTAGTCACTCTATTGACAAGAAATGTAGTGTAGCATCTCAGAAATGTAAATATGTTTCTGGCACTGTGTGTCTGCTTACAGAGAATTGTAAAGACAAGTAGTCATTTTGATTTTCAGAACTGTGGATCTCTGGAATACATGCACTTTTTTTTAGCATGGTTATGAAGTTTTAAGCAATTGAGGTATTTTGATTATGACAAGAATATGCAATTAAGCTCCATCAGCCAGTGCGTTGTTATCTAACAGATTTTTAGACATTCTTTTCAACATGAATTGTTCAAATTTCTGTCCAGCGTAAAGTAACCCTGACACAAAGATATCCAACAGAGCAAGGAATAGTAGCTGGAGGCTTAATGAAAACCACTTGCAGAGTACTGCAATACAATCACTATTTCAATTTGCACGTTATAAAAATTCCCAGCTGTAATAAAAAAGAATTTAGTTATCTGAGATGGAAACTAATGAAATAAATGAAAAATGAGACTCTAAAGGCAAAAGTTTATTCTAAGGAATAGATTTATTGAGGGAAAAGGGTATGTTTTTATGGCAAAGAGGATTTCTAGTTTGTCGGAAGGACTGGGGGGGATGGATTTGAAGGTTGACTGCTGTGTGCACATATTAAATATGCATGGGAAAATATATTTGTATTCACTTGTTTACAAAGAAAATGTCATCTAAGACATGGATGTTTAATTTGCAGCAACATCCTAAAATTATATTAGATCTGAAAAAAACAAGCGAACTCCCAAATAGACTGGTGGGGATTACAAAGTGTTTTATGAACAAATGGTTTGTAGCTTTTCAGAAGTAAAGTGTTAATTTACAAGAACAGCAAACATTACACTGTAGTGCCCCGATCATCCACAGAAATACATCAGGTGGATATGCTGGAGGAAGGAACTGAGATGAAATGATCTCTTTCACTTGTGACTAAACTGCAAATAGTAAACATGCATGGTGAGAAAGGAAATGGCGTTTTAAATATCTGTTTACTCACTTTCATACATCTCACTTGTAAATGCTGCTACAGAAAGTGTTGGAATTCAAAAATAGGCATCAACATATTTGCCAGAATTGTGCCTAAGGCTAGATTGTGTCTATAGCTCTGTTGGTAAACAAGGCTGGAGTAGACAAAGGCAAACCACACAGCCAGCACTGCAGTCCAAACACAAAGGAGGTGACTTGCCAAAGCCCTTTACCAAGTTTATTGACTTTGAGCATAATAAGATCTATTAACTGCAGGGGGATTACTTTTCTGTCTCTGAAAAATGTATGTGCAGTTACACAGTTTCAGTGTCCTTGACATTACCTCGAGTCTCTTCAACAACTTAACTACTCTAAAACCATCAACCACAAGGCTCTTTGTGCAGTTTGCTGCCACCTTTTCCTTCCTGTTTTCAATACATTGAGAAAAGGGGAAAAGTATTGCAATGTGCTTAGGACATAATTGGATTTGGGATGAGTTCAGGATGGAGAGAGCAGTACCAAGCCTAAGGATGCTGTATCTGCAGGCCCAGCTCACTGGCCTCAGCCATCAGCAAGGCTGGTAGTGGTCACGTGCTTGGAGCTCATCAGCACATTCAAGTGATGTGGTAGTTTCAGAGTTGAAAAAGGGCATTGGATATTCTCTTGCGGGTTGAGCAGAGGAACAATACGCCCCTTTTGTGCACTAACCAGGCAAAGGAATGATGTCTTCTGATATAAGGCACCCTCCTTTAAATTGTTGGCTGCTGTGTGAATTTTCTCAGTTTCCAGAGATGCACTGTGTCTGTCCCAGTGTTTTGGAGGTGTATTGTACCACCGTGTTCCTACCCACAAGTCGTGGTTAAAAGCCACAGTGGAATTCATGGTAGGGGCTTGTGTCCCAAATGATACGTTTGCTTGCCATCTAGAAGTGTTACCATTTCTTGTGGACAAAAAGGATTGATGATTCATAAAGAAATATTAATCTTATAGCAGTGGGAGGCCAGGCTGACATTAAAGTCAGAGCAAATCCTGGTTTCCCAGCATTTGCTTTGTTTCACTGTCTTCATTGTAGGTTTACTGATTTCTTATGTTTAATCTCTGTATTTTGGGGGGGATGTTATGCCCAGCACAGCTTGCCTCATTTATTTTTGCATAAAAATTAATTTCCCTTTGCTCAATCACACTTAACTCACAATAATGATGGCAACAACAGGAAGAGAGAATGGGAGGGAGATTGTAAAAGATGTGGAGAATTTAACCGTTGTTTATCTTTGTACATCTTAATGGCAGTAGTAGGTGTGAACACTGTGAATTATACTAGATATGGTTGTGTTTGTTTCCTCATGACTTAAAAAAAAAACAACCCCAGAATAAAACAGCTGTTACTGTATCATCTCCAGCTCCAGAGGGAGCATGTGTTTAATAAATGTAGAGATTAGTATCGTACTCTGCAGCTGTGACTGAGTCAGGTGAGTGGGTTACAGCACATTTTCCCTTCATTTGATGATAAACCAAAAACCCCAATTCAGAAAAGCCTCAGGGCATATCTTTAAAGTCCTAGTGTGGGCAAAGTTGGTTAAAAATCTGAATTGGGCTTAAAAATATCAAAATAGACAGAGTTTAGCTCTATGCCTGTATCTCCACTGAAGTTCAGAGTGCTCACATTGAAGGGTAGGATACATCCCATTTGCATTACAACTACAAAAGGTATTGTGGTCAGGGGCCCTGTCTACAAACTTCCTCACCATCCAAATTCTCAGCTGAAGCTGAAGCCACTGCTGTCCCACCTCCAGAGGGCAAGTCTCCTAAAGCACAAAGGTTGCTTGCTTACAAGCAAGATACATCAGGAGTTCTGTGGTGAGGAAGACTGAATGTCTACCTCAAGCATAGTTATATTAATGGTCTTATGTCTGCTAATCATTCACTGCCAATGTTTTTATGCAACTAGTACCAAGTAAACTGCAAAGGCAGGCTCAATTGTGAGTGGTAATTATAGGTAGAGATGAGAAGAGATGGGGAAGTACCAGGCTATAGAAGTCTGAAATTATGGTGATCTCATCAAGTGGTGGAAAAGCTTCTTACACAGTTGTTGCTGTCATTTGAAAGCCTGTTAAAAACCCATTTTGAAAGGAAATGCTTTTTCACTTCCCCTTATCCCTTTAGCCTTATATTCTTAGCAGAGTTAGGGAATTTGACATGAAGTCAAGCTACCACAAACTTAGCAAATTACTGCACTGCAAACAGAGTCTCAAAACCATCTTGTCTCTTTCTGCACTAAAGGTGTGTCAGTTTAGTCCCAGAGGAAAGGGAAACATGCTAAGCCATGTTGTCTTGCATTTCTCATGGGCTAAGTTCGTTTATGGAATGGCTTACCATGCTTGTGCTGATACACAGAAACTTGTTAAACTTGATTATCTGTTAAACCTTTGTCAATTTTGCAGTAGTAGGCGTCCTTCAGTCAGCTGGCACCAAACTACCGAGTTTCTTCTTGTTGTGAGGATTATAAAGCCACTTTTTGCAATTTTCCCTTCCTATTTTCTATTATTTGTTTTTATTCTTAACCTGTTTTACTTCAGTGTGATTCTGTAGTGGTAGAATAATGTATTAGGACTCCTTGGGAGGAAATGTGGTCCCCAGTCAGTGCAGGAAGGGTTGCAGTTGGGATTTTGGGATTGTTTATTCCCATCTCTGATGCTGATGTGGAACTCTGGGCAAGGAGGTTATTGTGACTCAGAATTTCTGCAAAGCACTTTAGGGGACAGAGAAGCTTTTTCTGCTGAAAGCACAATAATCTGTTCATATTTAGATTCATGTGGAAGGATGTCTTTAAATAATTAAGTGTTGCCAGTGCTGTTCCAGACCTTATGAAGTACAAGGTTTCTCATCTCAGCTATGAAAGCTCTTTCATGATGATGTAACCAGTTACTCCATTACTTGAACATACTTCACCATTGCTACCCTGAGTACAGGCATCCCATTCACTGAAGAGTCCTATTTGTCTTTTTAATGGGAATCCTAATATGATTGTAAAGTAGAAGAATATATGTAAAGCAAATTTTAAGGAAATCAATTCATGTGCTTTTAGATAATGGAATAAGAAAAC